TTGATACTGCTGAGACCTGGAGTGCGATTAAGTAAAAATGAAATGCGAATGAAAAGATCAGATCAGAGTTGAAACACTGTCTACGGTAAATATTTTAGGCTTTTCTCCATCACGACTTATCAATTCAACTTTTATAGAGGAAAATCCACCACAGACAACATGTAAACAAATGGTCAGGATTTGGTTCCAATAAGACTTTACTTACAAAAATAGACAGACAGCTGGCCAAATTGGCCGGTGGGCTCTAACTCCTAGATGAGCTCATTAATACAAAAGTAGAAATAGTCCAGTTTTAAGAAATGTAGAAATGCTCACATTTGTGATAATTTTTATATTGAAAATTAATATAACTACAAGATAGCCACTTCACAGTCATTAGATTAGCAAATTGAGCGAATACAAAGTCCAGGGTTGGGAAAGATGGGGAAACTTCAGCTTCAGGCATATGTATCCATTGTGAGGGGCCTTGATTAGTATTAATCCAATCCCACTGAAGGCTAATTTGCTAAACAGATGGCAAATGTCATAAAATGATAACATGTGCCAGTGTTTTTGACAAGTGGGAGGACCTGTATCAAAATACATGGCCTCTCTTTCTCTCTCTCTCTCTCTCTCTCTATATATATATATATATATATAAAATTTATTTTAGAGTCAAAAGACCAAAACTACTGCCAAACTTGATTGTTATATAATGCACATCAAGGTGACCGCTGCCACTTGAAATGTTAGATATAAATAGCATAGAAATATGGAAAGAGGAAGGAAACTATAGCTATTAGTACAAAAGTAGAACCTGGAATGGCATCCATGCAATGATAAGAGTTACATAAAATTAGTCCTGTATGAAGCTTGTAAAATGGTCAAAATAGTGCAAAGCAAGTTCCCTCAGCAGGACGGTGGCTCATGAGGCAAAGGCGATGTGAAATGTGCAGCCACTTCAAAGACCCCCGATGGAAAAATGAAGCGGCCTCTTGTTCTCTCTTGGCCAACATCACCCCCGAGAGATGAGACAGAGTTCATGTGCTAGAGCAGTGGTTCCCAACCTGTGGGTCACCACCCCTTTGGGGGTCAAATGACCCTTTCACAGGGGTCGCCCGATAAATAACAGTAGCAAAATGACAGTGATGAAGTAGTGATGAAAATAATTTTAAGGTTGGGGGGGTCACCACCACATGAGGAACTGTGTTAGAGGGTCGCGGCATGAGGAAGGTTGAGAACCACTGGTCTAGATAGTAGCAAATCTTCTTTATTTCTTTCCAAGGCCCCATTCCAGTTAGCTTTCAGCTACCTTTCTGCCACTAAATTAAGATTTACTTCTTATTTAATAACTATTTCCATTCCAGTTTCACTCTTACACCACCACCACTACTACCATCACCACCATCCCCCCAAAAAAACCCTGGGCCAGGTATAGCAGTACTTTCACATGGAGACCACTATTACTCTAAGGGACGCCTGCTACTCCTTGCTGTAGTAAGAATCATGGATTTTAATGGAGCTTGTTGTTAGCTGCTGTTTAATCGATTCTGACTCAAGAACCATATGTGCGTAGAGTTGAATGACCCACATAGATTCTTGAAAGCTATGACCTTTTAGAAGTCTATTAGCAGGCCTGTCTCCTGAGGTGGGTTTGAACCACCAACCTTTCCGTTAGCAGGCTAGTGCCCAGTCATATGCACCATAATGTACACCATCCCATTTGGTCTTCATAATAAACCAAGAAAAACTAAAGCCACTGCCATGGAGTCGAGGCTAACTCATAGGGACCCCATAGCACAGGATAGGACGGTCCCTGTGAGTTTCCAAGCCTGTTTAAGGAAGTAGACAGCCCCGACTTTCTCCTGCAGATCTGCAGGTGGTTTCAAACCGCAGACCTTGTGGATTGCAGGTCAACTCGAAACCACCACACCACGAGGGCTCCTGCAGTTTTAACAATATTATTTCAAAATAGGCATTTTATAAATAAGGAAACTAAAATTGAAATTACTTTTAGTTTTCCCATTTTTAAAATTTATTTAACCATGTTATTGTCATATAATTTGCATAGTAAACAATTCAGTATTTTAAATATATTAAAAAGAGTTGTGCAAAGTAACCACAATCAATTCAATTATGTTCTTCAATCTTGTTATGAGCTCCCCATTTTTCCCCAACTTCCCCTGTCATAATCCTAAGGAGCTATTAATCTCGTTGTTATTTCTATAGATTTACCTATCCTGGATTTCATATGAAGAAAATCTTTTTTTTAAAAAAAACAAACACCAACAAAATAAAGCACAGAAAAACCTCAATCCAAAAGAAAACAGAAAATAATAAAAACTAGAACAAGTTATAAATGGATCAGAAATGAACAGAAAGGGTAAGATGTTGAATCTTAACTTAACTACACGTGTAGTAATCAACTGTCCAATCTACTGTCCAATACATTCTAATCACAAATCCCTGGTCAGTGGTCTGAGGGACTTCAGTGGGAACTCTGAATGGATTTCAGCTTTCACGGTCACCCACAGCCTTCTGCAAACCAAGTGCGCAGAATTTAAGGTCTAAAACAGCTCCCTCCTCTGATTTTGGATTTTGTTATTTACAGTCTTTGGATCACACAGGCTGGTGTCCTCCTGTGTGGACTTAGCTGACATCTCACTTAGATGGCTGCTCGTTTTAAGGCGAGCCTTTGAGACCCCAGGTGCTATTCTTTAAAACTGAGATGATTTAAATAGATTATCCCAATAGCAAGTACAAAATGCAAATCCAGTTCTGACTTTGAAAGCCCCATTTCTGAGGGTGCAACTATATAATATAGCCAAGTAGATGAAAAGGAGCAAATCTAGGTCCATGGAAAGAAGTAGCATCCTCCCCTCAATCCCTTTCCCAACATCATGTGGATCTATCTGGCAAACCCTTATGCCAATGTGAGTGGGATAAATAGCCAGAGGAACAGGGCAAAGTGGGGAGGGTCAACTGTGAGAAATGATAAGGCCTTAGCTGCGCCCCAGCGCTTTCCCACCTCTTTGCTTTCTATGCATTCACTGGCTGCTTCTCCTGCATTCTCCTGCAACGGTGTCCAGAGCCCGGATGAGATGCACATCTATGTAGCACACACTCACACATGACCTGAAAAGCAACCCAATGATCTGAGGCCTCA